TTCTGAACTGAAAGTTGCTACTGTTTTCTTTGTATTTGATGCATCATCAGCTTTCTGGCAAGTCCCATTAGACAAAGAAAGCACCAACCTGTGCACCATTGCGACTTCCCTTTGGAAGATTCCGGTTCAAGCGACTTCCCTATGGATTGAACAGTGCATCGAAGGTATTCCAGCGATGCATAAACAATATTCTTTCAGGTCTCCAGGGAATTGCTTGCTATATGGATGACATCTTGATCTATGGAAGCACAATGGAAGAGCACAACCGAAACCTTGAAACAGTTCTTCGAAGGTTGGAAGAAAATAATGCAAAGCTCAATGCTAAGAAGCTGCAGATAGCTGTCGACAAAGTAAATTTCTTAGGCCATATAATCAGTCGAGATGGAATAGCCATTCAAGCTTCAAGAGCAGAGGCAATACAAAACTTGAAAAGACCTGAGAACAAGACTGAAGTCCAAAGATTCTTAGGTATGGTAACGTACCTTGGCAAATTCATTCCTAATCTTTCTGACAAGACTGCACCTCTAAAGAAATTGATAAGCAACAAGAGTGAATGGAAATTTGGAGGCGAAGAAAATTATTTTTTTGAAAAACTCAAGGATATGGTTTCGAATGCTCCAATATTGACATTTTTTGACCCAACCAAGCCAATCACCATTTCATCTGATGCAAGCCAATATGGTATTGGTACAGTGCTCATGCAAGGGGGACATGCAATTGAGTATGCGTCCTTCAGCCTGAATGCAACTCAAAGAAAATACGCACAGATAGAGAAAGAACTTTTGGCTATAGTCTTTGGATGTGAACGCTTCCAGTACTATATTTGGGGAAATTATGTTATTGTAGAAACTGACCACAAACCTCTCCTGAGTATTGTTAAGAAACCTTTAGAAAAGCTTTCCCCAAGAATGCAAAGAATGGTCTTACGTCTCATGAGATTTCAAATATCTTTGAAGTTTACACCAGGGAAAAACATGTTTGTAGCTGACCATCTGTCTAGAGATCCATTAAAAGATGAGGTGGACACAAGCTATTTAGAAGGTCAAACTGAATCAGTGCACATGTTGCTGGTTACCACAGATGAAAAAATAAAGAGACTACAAAAGGAAACTCATGGGGACCCCACCTTGATACAACTAATAGAGTATGCGAAGAATGGATGGCCGAAATATAAAACTAAGGTCTGTGATGAAGCAAAACCCTACTGGCAATTTCAAGATGAAATTCATGTAAGTAACGGAATTGTTTACAAAGGAAATTGCATCATGGTGCCATCGACTCTTCGAAAAGAAATCCTGCAGGTTGTTCATTCATCACACCAGGGCACAGCAGCTTCCAAAGAAAAAGCAAGATCAGCATTTTACTGGCCTGGCATGATAACACAAGTAGAAAATGAAGTGGAAAAGTGCAGAACATGTCATGAATATTCAAGAAAGAATCCTGAGGAGTCAAGAATAGCTCATGAAATCCCTGAATTTCCATGGGAAATATTTGCTGTAGATTTCATGGAGGTGAGTGGAACCAGTTCCATCTTGGTTGTCGATTACCACTCAAAGTTTGTTGAAATCCGGAAATTATCAAGCAAAAGAGAAACCGAAACCACCATGCAGTTGAAAACCATTTTCAGGAATCATGGAATTCCAAGAACTCTAGTTTCGGATAATGGACCCCCTTTTAACTCTACTGGATTCAAAAATTTGCTCAGAAATATGAATTCAAACACCAAACCTCCAGTCCCAAATATCCAAGATATAATGGACAAGTTGAGAGGACAATTCAAACCATCAAAGGACTGATAATTAAAGCTGTGAAGTCAGGAAGAGATCCCAATCTGGCTTTGATGGAGTTCAACAACACACCTAAGTATGACTTGCCATCTCCGACCCAAATGCTTATGGGAAGATCTGTGAGAACTCTTTCGACATACACATCCGACAACAGTTGAAACCACTGTTTGACACAACAAAGAATTACAAAAAATTGAGAGACCATCAACAAAAGTATGCAGGAAGTCCAAAGAGAATTTTGAGACCTTTGTAAGTAGGAGACAACATCATGTTGCAGGAAAGGCATAGAAAATGGGTTCCGGCAACAGTGACCGCAAAGCATGAAACTCCACGCTCATATATGGTGAAAACACCAAGTGGGTCTGAATATCGCAGGAACAGGTCTCACCTTAGACCGAGAAAGTTCAGTGCAGAAGATTCTGCCCCAACAATTCAAAGTCCAAGCATTCCTGGATTTCAAGCAGGGACAGCCATGGATGACAACATACAAGCTCATGGAAGACCCACTTCCGAAAACAGAAGAGCAGGTAATCCAAGGGAGGACGTTGCCAAGAAAGGTGAAGAATCATCTACTTCTCCTAGTGTGCGAACCCGCAGTGGTAGAACAGTGAGAAAACCTTTGCGTTATAGAGACTAGGAGAACTGCAATCCTTTTTTTTTTTTGTTGTTGTTGTTTAAAGGAAACATGTTATGATTGAACTGACAAGTTGATCCGGCAACACGGCAGACTCGATTAGTAAACATTCTTATATATATAGAACAAGGATATAAAAACATAAGTTAATAAATAAAGAACTTAGTTCAGTTGCATTCTGCGTGATCAAAGAGGCACAAAGAACTTAGTTCAGTTGCATTCTGCGTGATCAAAGAGGCACAAAGAACAACATAAACAACAGTTACCATTAAGATTATTTTGTGGTGTGGGTATTTTACTATATTAGAACACAACATTAAACACATTAGCCCACAATCGAACAAATGCGACTATGCCCACGAGAAAAACATCCATCCCGCCTCACCTAACTTCATTTAGCAGCCCCATCTCCACGGCAAGGTTGTCACCAGGATAATGTCTAGGATAATAGAAAAAAGGCCCAGCGCGACCAGGCCAGTGGTCCTAATTCTCCTCTTTTTGAGAAACTCTTCTTGTTTTCTTTCCCCTCCATTTTAAAAGGGATCAAAATAATCCCGCTTACTTGTGTGTGCCCCAGTGTTGCTGAACTCACTCCGAAGCTATCACCATCCATTTCTGAAAGAAAAATATATTAAAAATAATAGAATTAGAATTATAATAGAAATATAATAGAATTAGAATGTCAAAACAATGCACCAATATGAATTTGAATATAAGAATTGCAATATACTTTTATAAAAAAATATCAAAAAACTTACGCAATGTGTTTCTTTATTACAAAAAAACTTTCGAGCTCGCGGTTTTTGTAATAAAGAAACACATTGCCTAAAGTTTTTTGCTATTTTTTATTAAAATATGAATAGAAAGTTTTGAGCATTTAAAAAATAATAATAAAATAAAATGAACATTGTGAGACATGGGTGCATTCCATGAGCTTGATTGTTTATAAGAAAGTATATCAAAATATATAAACATATAAAAATATACAATAGATACAAAAGAAAAGAAAAATACAGGAAGTAGAAGTTCGCATAAAAAATTATGGGAAAAGACAAAATATACATGAGTTAGAAAATAGCTGAAAACCATTCAAACAACATCATACTTTTTAAATATATTAAATAGTATGAAGAAAACTAAGGAAGGGATAATGATATAACAGAATGGTAAAATTATTATTTAATAAATATTCTGCTAGAATATAAAAAAAAGAGGATCTGATAACCCTGTGACTTATTTACATCGGAACATATTGTGGTTTTCTTGAACTTTGATATATATTTCTAGCCGTGAATTTCAAATATAAAAACGCGTTAGCAGTAATATTTTCATTTTTAATTATATTTCGGAATTAAAATGGTGAGTTTTGCAACTTATGGATATCATTTTGCATTTTATAAAATAAATCAAACGACAATTACAGATGACAAAAATATTGGTTGTAATAATCGATCTTTTATATATTTTATAAATTAATCAAACTGAGAATGCACTCTTTCTTGGTGTTAGAAAAACAACAAGTAAATTTTTATTTATTTGTTTTTTTTTTTCGTCATTAAATTCAGTCGAAAACATTGACAGGTTTAAGGGGACCGATTTAAGCCATAAATTGAGGTATTTAAAGATAAATGCAAGTATGACACTTCAACATCATTGTTCCTCAATGATTTAAAATACAAAGTTTGTTGTTTTTAAAGAAAATAAATAATGGGAATAAAATTTAGATATGTGTTTGTTTGCATATATTTCTCTATGTGTAAGCATTGGATTGTCAATGCTTAACAATTGCTTATTATTGACACACATGGAAGCTATATATACTCATGGACAAAAAGTGGAAATCTTTTGATGTCACCAATCGTCTGTTTTTCTTAAAGGAGACAAAGGCAATTTAGTTCATACTTTGTTATCTTGTATTGTTCAATAAAGGACTAGTGTATCAAATATCTTTCAGAGTTATTGTCTGAATTCTGATATACATGCTAAAAGGTACAACTTCCTTAGGTTTTGTTCACACTTGGTTATTCCAATATTTTTACCTCTGCGAAATCTTTATGACAAATAATAAAACTCCGAGGTTGCGTATCTTTTTTAAACCGTTTAATAAGGCTCTAGCTTTCGGGTATGGTGGCTCTTCTACAGGAGCAACGCGATGATCACGTTGCTCCTGTAGAAGGGCCACCATACCCGAAAGCTAGAGCCTTATTAAACGGTTTAAAAAAGATACGCAACCTCGGAGTTTTATTATTTGTCATAAACACTTGGTTATCTCGTATGTCTTCAATAAAGGTCACTGTAATATCTTTCAGGGTTATTGTCTGAATTCTGATATACATGCTGAAAGGTACAACTTCCTTAGTTTTGTCCATGAGTGTATATAAATTAATACAGCTGAAACTCTTAATAACAATACTTGGAACCAAGATTTTATTGTTTTATATTAATCAAATAAAAATCTCAGAGAATAAGTTTCTTTATTACACTATTAACAAGTTTTCAGGTTTTAAACGACCCTTCTACAGGTAAACATTTTTTAGAAAAGGAAACTATGTTGTATTGTAGTTGTTTATATACATTACTGGGGGGTCGGTGGAAGGCTGGTTAAACCGTTTGGTTTTCGACCACTACGACCCGGGTTCGATCCCCGGGTTCTGATTTAAAAAAAAATGCTCCAATGGCCCCCGATTCTTGTAAAAGTCCAACCCCACCAGCGAGTGCAAGTAACCAAACGGGGCTCTGGCACATTTTTAAGTGCAAAATCGAACTGCTTTTCACATGTGTAGACATGTGGTGCACTTACAGTAAAAGCAGTCGCTAACTACCCACCATGATTATCATGGCCTGTACCACGTGTACTAGAGATAATTAAAAAAAAAAACATACATTACTATATTTACATATTTTGGACTATTTAGATTTTACTTTAAATATTAATTTATACAATTTGATATGAAAAAGGTTATCTTAAAGATCTACAAATCAAAATATTTTACATATTACCAATTTTATTATCTATTAGAAAAGTTTTTAAATATGTTGTTTTTTTGGATGAATAGAGTCTTCTTCTTCTTTCTTATTTCCACTCAATCATATTAGGGTGTCAAGCTTGTAAAGCTTGTTGATGGTGTCTGTTAACAACCATCATGATTGGGTGAAGTAGAATGCATCTGCCTTTGTCATTAAGACTGAGAGCACTACTCAGTGGCAGGCCGACTTAGCTCCAAAAGAAATGGCCGCCTCTGACATGAGGAAAAGAAGCCATGTGCAGCTGCTCCTAACATGGAGTACAAACGCTGCTCATCTTGTATCCCTGGATTAGGAGTCCTTGCAGGATACTATCAGCCTGGCCAGCTGAGCCCAGGTTTTTTAATGAGCTTGTTACTGCTCCCTCTCCTCCTTTTTCATCTGGGCTTTTAACCGGCTAAGGTGAAGTTGATGAATAGAGTGATATTTTGTATTAAGTTTTTAGATGAAAAGTTTAAGAGTTTTTGATAATTAGGACTTTTAACTAAATTATGATACACCTCTGGATGCACTGATACACCTTATGTTTAATTGAGACCAATACCTCCAGTAGTAATCTTTTGTATTTGTTTTGGATGTTTTAGTATAGAGCTTTTGGTTGTTGAAGATTGAAATCATGTCCTGTATTATTGATGTGATGTACTAACCTGTTATCTTTGCTTTTGATATTTCGGTATGTTCATTGAACCTTTCTATTGTCTTCCAGTTTCACCTGGATGTATAAATCATCACTTTGGTTACATTGCGTAAATGGATTGCTTATTGAATATGGATGTTTTGTGAAAACTATTTTTAGTTATGGGGTTTCTGATCAGATTTTCAATATTTGGTGTGTTTTGTCTATTTTTTTTATTATAATTTAATAAGTCTTCGTCTTTCTTATCTCTCCACACTGGGTGAAGTAGAATGCAGCTGCCTTTGTCATTAAGACTGGGAGCACTACTCAGTGGCAGGCCGACTTAGCTCCCAAAAAAATGGCCACCTCTGACATGAGGAAAAGATGCCATGTGCAGCTGCTCCTAACATGGAGTACAAACGCTGCTCATCCTGTATCCCTGGAGTCCTTACAGGGTACTATTAGCTAGGCCAGCTAAGCCCAGGTTTTTTAGTGAGCTTGTTACTGCTCCCCCTCCTCCTTTTTCATCCGGGCTTGGGACCGGTAAAGGCGGAGTTATTTAAAAAGTAATCTGTAAAACTTTAAATTTTTAAATTAATTATTCACACACACAGATCCAATATATTTGATAATTGTGACTTTTGAATGCTCCAAGTTTTCTGGGTTACACATAGTTTTATCTAACATATACAGTAGAACATCCATGAGAGGATACTCTCAATAGAGGACACCTCTATTACAATGTACAGTTATCATCTCCAAAATTACTATTTTTATTAATTAGCATCTTTATGGTAAGAGGACACCTCTGTCCCTAAAGGACACTTTAGCTCTGAAACTAGGTGTTCTCTTATAGAGACAGATAATTCAACTCTATATACAGTTAAACCTGTCTATAGCGCCCCCTCTAAATAGCGCCCAATTTTAAACATTAAAATGTAAACATTTTACATTAATAGTGACCTGTTTATAGCACCCCCCTCTCTATAGAACCCATTTTGGTGAGTCCCAAGAGGGGGCGCTATAGACAGGCTTAACTGTAGATCCAGGCAGTGGTTTAGAAAAGACTTTGATATTGGGAAAAATTGAAAAAAGAAGGAAAAGAGGAAGAAGACCTGCAATGAGAAGGGGTGGAAGAAAACTACCAGAAGATGAGCTGTGAGTGATGGTCATTAACAGATCAAATTGAAGAATATTTGTCTCCATATAGTCACCAAAATTTGACTTGATGGATGCTAACAACAAAAGTATTGAGTGATACTTGGGTTGGACACAAATTTTCAGCATACAATGCCTAGGATAGCTCAGGATTGTCTTTTAACAGGTTTACTATTTTTTTTTTTTTATATATATATACAGTAGAACCTGTCTGTAAAGGACAACACCTAATTGCAGAATCAAAGTGTCCTTTAGGGAGCGGTGTCCTCTTACCAGAGAGTTGCTCTTCTTCTTCTTTCTTATCTCCACACTGGGTGAAGTAGAATGCGTCTGCCTTTGTCATCAAGACTGGGAGCACTACTCAGTGGCAGGCCGACTTAGCTCAAAAAGAAATGGCCGCCTCTGACATGAGGAACAGACGCCATGTGCAGCCGCTCCTAACATGGAGTACAAATGCTGCTCATCCTGTATCCCTGGAGTCCTTACAGGGTACTATCAGCCAGGCCAGCTGAGCCCAGGTTTTTTTACAGAGCTTGTTACTGCTTCCCCTCCTTTTTCATCCGGGCTTGGGACCGGCAAAGGCAGAGATAGAGAGTTGCTAAATAGTAAAAATGATAACTTTACAAATGAAAACTGTTCTTTGTAGAGAGGTGTTCTCTAGCGCGAGTGTCCTCTCATGGAGGTTCTACTGTATATAGAGCCCCTGTGATGTTGTAAAAAGATGATGTAGAAGTTGAGGGAGTGTTGCCCAGTGAAGGAGTGACATGGCCGAATATGGATGGTCTCTGTCAGAGTCCACACTGGCTAAAGCACAGCTTGAGCTCAACGAAGCCCCAGCCCACCGCAAGGCAGCCATTGATGCTGTTCGGGAGCTCATCCCTACACGCCCTGATGTCGGTAAGTCCTATTCTGTATTGCATTGAGGAAAACTGCCATTTCAACCTTATTCTGAGGCGGGACCCAAATTTGACCTAAATGAGTTAGCTGAACATTGGTAACACTTCTTCAATTTGAGATAACCATGACTTGGGATTGAATCCTACATCCCACATTTTCTGTTCCAAATGCCCCCTAATTCATGTCCTACCCCCACCAGTGAGTAGAAGTAACTAAAAAGAGCTCTGGCACACATGTAAGGGCAAAAAAAAGTTAAAATTCTTACTTCATTTGTAGAAATGTGATGCACTAACAATAAAACACAGTTTTGAAATACCCACCATTGTTATCATGGCTTGTGCAACATGTACTTGGGATAAGACTTTTTTTTTTCTACTATAAACAGGAAAACATTATATATTCAAATAATTAAAAAGAGAAGATTTGGGATTGGGATCATTAGGATAGTGATATGAGCAAGAGATAACAAAGAGGTGTATGAAGAGAATTTCATAGAACAGAGTGAAATGGTATTTCCCATAATGGCCAATCTCTGTGCCACAGATGTCTCACTCCATAGTGATGATTATCATTATAAGCAAGAGCATCATAATGCATCATACAGCCAACTCTTCTATCAATCCAGAACCACTAAGGAGCAAAGTAATTAAAGGAAATGGCTATATTGTCACACTTACTAGAAAAGCATTGAGAAATTAATGACTTCTCCATATAGAAAGGAAATAGTCTCACAACAATCTGAGGCACAATTTGGATTATTCTATATACAGTTACGAGCGTCATGCATTCTTAATAATTCTTCATCTCTGTCACCGTTTGCTTTTTTTTTGGAATGGCGCTCTCCTGTTGGTTGGCTACGATCACGCCACCTTTGCCCCCCCCACTCGCATTTTGGTTTTTGTAACTATTGTGTTGGAGCGGGTCGCTCCTTAAATAAATGCATATATTAGTTAATAACTAAATGGAATCCTCTCTTTCTTTTTCCCAGTAAGAGACGCATACGGAAGCCAACAGTAGATAGACAGATAAAGCACATAGGCTATAGTTATTAACTAATATATGCATTTATATAAGGTGCCAATTTATAATTGTAACAAATAGTATTTGAATAAAAACATTCAATCGGGTAAAAACACGGGTGTTGCCCGGGTCATTCGGCTAGTGTATAATACAAGGTAATAAGACCAAATAAATAGTGTGTAACGTTTCGGTAACAGCGTTGTTTGGTCTTATTACCTTGTATTCTCAGCAAGTTTTAGAGAGCACTAAGGCAATCAAAAGTAAACAGCCATATTGTCACACTTACTAGAAAAGCATTGAGAAAATGAATGACCTCAAGAAGAATGTGGACCAATGACATCAAGGACTGGAGTGGAGTAAGCTACACGCTGCTAAAGAGGAAGACACCATGTGAATATGGACCAAGGACTGGAGTGCAGTTAGAATGATTTGGAAGTGGACCAAGCAGAATGTGGAAGGTCCAAAAATGACAGGATAAAACTGTATTAATAACAAAATCAAAGTTTAGACTAAATTAAACAAACATTCCCAGCAAGGTTTAGAGTATAGGGCTGGATGGAGAAACCAGAGAATTTCCAGTAATAACACCTACAGTTCTCACCTTACCAACATAGCACCTAGTTCCTGTTACAACTTAAAATGACAGAGATAAATTTTATGTATCCCTCTCTATTGGCACTACATCTCTTACACATTTAGAAAGCTGTTACGATTTTTGCACTTACAAGTGTGCCAGAGTCTTGTTGGGTTACTTGCACTCACTGGTGGGGTTGAACTTTGGCAAGAATTGAAGTACCATTGAAGCAATTTTTATGGGGAAAAATTGAAGTGAGGGATTGAATCCCGGGTCTGTGTGGATGCTGAGAATTGACAGTTTATACCAGTCCTCTACCAACCAAATCCCTGCATCATCATTACTCTTCTTCTTGGGGGTTGGTGGA